AATTCTAAATTAATCCATGCCAGTGCAATAATTAATTACATGCATAATTTATTGACACAATTCTAAATTAATTCTATGCATTACATAATTAATTAACATGCATAATTAATCTAGCAATACTAAATTAATCCCATGCAAGAACATAATTAATTAACATGCATAAATAATAATTTAATGGCATAATAAATTTAATTAAATAAATAAATAAATCCACTATTATGGCCATTAAATATTGAGTCTCCTTAAACAAGGAAACTGTGACAGTTCTTTTCCCTGTTCAACTGGAACTCCTTTAAGCAGTAGAATCCTGGTTGATCTTGTACTGCTTGGACAAGAAGGCAAAACCTCTCCACCTCCTGCAGCCAACCGCCGACTGCCGCCTGGCTGCCACCCGGCCGCCGGCCGCCGCCGCCGCCAGTGGTTGGAAAAACGCGCCGTTTCCTTTTTTTTTTTTTAATTCTTCGAGGCTCGTTGATCTCTTGTGATCTCCCGGTTATCAACACACGATCACAACACGAAAAATATAATTTACAAAATTACATAATTCGATCCTAGATCCAACGAATGGATGTACATGTTTTCTAAACAAATAATTAAATCTATCCGGTCAACCCCCGGGCGAATAATTATTACAAACATTCATCCATAAATTCCTCGACATGCCCGAGGCTTTAAAAACAAATTTAAAACCATACATCACATGCAACAACATTCATCAAACACATAATCGGCCATAATAGTGGATTAACTATTTTCCTGCAAAACCGAGTTATGCAAATATAATCCAATATATGGCTGCGTTTGAACACATCTTGTCAAATAGAGCCGTAAGAATTTGAACTTATGTACAAAACGAATTAACCAAGTGCTCTGATACCACTTGTTGGGATCTGTGAGGATCTCGTTATGTACAAATCACGAATTCAATAGCAAACATAAACCTATGCGCAGCGGATCTAAAGGTTTGACGTAGAGAACTTACGGCTTAAAATTAATGTAGATCTGGTTGACCACGAACGGTTGACCGCAATTGATTGACCGCAACACGCGTCTTGGGTTGCACGAACAAGATCAGATCAAAACTGGATCAAACGGATGCAAACAGATCAAAACGAAATTTTGCTGCCTGGCACCTTCCGGCGGCGCTGGAAAGCTCTCGTCGAGACGGTCGTCTGGGTATACTGTACGTCTCAATCGGACTTCCGGTTAGCTCTGTAGGTCAAAATATATTTCGTCTCGTTTTACCTACAGATCTTCTACTGTATTACTCAATACACCCTTCTTCAACTTGTACCAGTGGAGAAACAAGAAGAAGATGAAGCTCGAATGAGATCTAGAGAGAGAGAGGCGTGTGAGGCGTGTATCTCGTGTGAATGAGACTTCTATTCTCTTCTCATGAGCTTAATGATGTATATCTAGAGCTACAGTAGGGATCCTAAGGAGATTAGGAAAAGGGCTCCTTAATTACATAGACTAACTGTGGGCCAAACCCACTCCTCTAATTAATTAAATAATATTAATGGGCCACCAACATTATATTATTGAACTCCCTTTCCCTAGCCCAAATTACATTTGAGACTCCAATAATAATTACTCGATTTACCTCCCCACGTTTAAGATATAATGTCCATTAATTAATTCGATTACTGACAATCAAGAATTAATTAATTTATTATTATTTCACCGAAGCTAGCACTCGTTCATCACATTCTTATTATGCCGGAATTTAATCCACCTGCAGGGTTTAGCATAACAATCCTTCATGAACTCACTCCGGGGACATCATCAAACTAACGCACATGGTGATCGTAAATATCCTAACAGCACATCCTATATATAATAATATTACCCAAAATAGTAGGAATATCAATCCAGCGAACTGAACTTCACCCATGTGAATCAAAGTAATATATATTATATATATCTGCCTGTTTAATATCTTACGGGTTAAGAGAACGCAGTAATTAACCGAGGCCTAGTTCATTTACGACGATCAGTATAAAATGAACTTCTCCTCTCTGGGATCTTGTTCAATACATAAATGTACTAGTGCAACTAATCAGTCAAGACAAACTGTACAGTTGACACTACAACCGTTCGGATGGGGTGTTCATGTCCATCTAGGTTGTGAACAACTATTCTTGTTCGCAAGTAACTGATAGAGTGATCTTCGGTTCGCCCGATGACGACCCACACTATCTAAGTGCAGAACAACAGAACGTAGAACTTGTTTAATCTAACATGATTCTCATTCATAAAGGGTAAATGTGTAATATCATGCAAAGACAAGCTTTCAGTATATAACACTAACACAGTTTACCCTAGTTATACCATCAGAGTGTGCACACGGTTACCGGCCAGAGAGTTTCGGGAGTTACCGGCCAGAGAGTTCCGGGAGTTACCGGCCAGAGAATTCCGGGAGTTTCAGTTTACTTATATATACCGGTTCTGTGATATCATTATTAATATTGCTGTTTACTTTAGAATGGGTTTTTATGGAGTACAAGTGGACCGTACTCACCCCCACTTTATATTTTCAGATGACAGGGCCGGCAGGCAGGCGTGAGATGAGCTGTGGTGGTGGTGATCGTGAGTTCCGCACGAAAGCTGTTCCCGGGACATTTGTTTAAACTGTTTTGTAAACTATTATAACCATGTATCTTAGACTTCCGCTATGCTTGCGTTTATTTTCGAACATGCATGATGCTATTTTCAAACTTAAATAATTTTACCCAGTTCGCCAGTACGAACGGGTCCAGACTAATATGCATGATTCGCTAAAAATATAAACCTGATTTCTTAAAGTCTAAACCAGACGTTAGACCTAGGTTAAAGAAAACGGGTTTTAAGCTGAAAAGTCCTTAGCAGCATCTTGAGATAATTTGCAAATGATTTCGAAAAATTTATAAGCAGTTTTCGAAAGAGTTTCAATTTGCGAAAAATTGGCCCTAGTTAGCGGGGTGTTGCATTGGTCCTCTCCCGGACTCAATACCAGAGATTAGGGGGGAAGGGAACATGAATTGGCATTAAAGCCCCGGTCACTCCGCCACAGCCAGCATGAACCCGAGCTCCCCTCCCAGCCTCCGAAAACGGACCCCGCCCCATTCGCTTCCACTCCAAAGTGTCGGCGATCAGAGATCCAAAAACGACACCGGCAAAACAGCAGACCCGGAAACGAGGCCATCTGCAAAAGCCAAAGAGAGGAGTCACCCGAACTAGGACGACGCAAGCAACCTGAGCCGCGTCCAGCCACTGGCGCCGCACTCTACCCTGCCTCACCACCGAGGAGCGCCGGCGACCTTCAAGCGCAGATCGGGGAAATCCGCCGAAGACCTCCATCCGCATCCCTCGGCCAGAGACGAAAGGGAAGAGCACCGCGAACAGAATCGAGGACGTGCGCGCGTGGAGAGCTGTCCACCGACAAGCCGGTTGACCGCTGAAAGAAGCACAAATCAGCAATGACGAGGACGAGGACTAGGGTTATCGGAGAGAAAAGGAGATTTTGTGTTTCAGGGGAGGTTTTTTCTAATCCAAAGAATAAATCATTGAAAAAGTACTAGAACATATTTAGTTACCTTATCAAGTATTTTTTGACGCGATATAGTTAGAATTTTAATTTTAACACGTTTTCATTTTTTTACGCATTTTATACATGATTTTTAAAGTTTCGGTAAAAAAGTATATTGGGCAGGAAACAAAAAAAAAAAAATACATTCAATTTTTTATCAGTCCAAATTGAATATGATAATGTATTTAATATGGTGAATATGTGGAATGCATATTTACACGATATTTCTCTCTCGAAATCATATGTACATATGGTTTTCGGTTACGTGGAATGCATATTTGCACGGACAATCCTTAATTTCAAGCATGGCTCATCAATATAATTGTTTTGAAATTTTCAAAACAGATTCCTTGATATGTGGAACTATAAAATTAATTTCAAACTAATAAAATGAACCAATTTTTTAGCCGAATAATATGTTGACCATAAATGATTTAAAATTTCCTAAACAAAAAGAAAGGATCTCATGCAAAATTTAAATTCAAATCGTATTTTTCTTTAAAAATTTGATACAGATTTCCAGCTGCATTTCCAAAACTCTATGATTTTAAATTCTAAAATCAAATTTCTTAAGCACGTGATTACCCAAAACTAATGCAAATTTAAATTTTCAACATATAGATGCAGAGAGTATATATTACTACTTCCTATATTTTTTAAATGTCATCTTGACTTTATCAACAATTAATTAAATAAATGACGATTTGGATCTTTTGTACATATTTTTCCATTATTACATTCATCTAACTAATAAATACACTATGTCTTTTCATATTCACTCTTCATCTTTTCTTAAAACATCCATCTCTATCCTAATTAATGAAGGTTATTATTGGCAAAAAAAAATCTTAATTATTGTGTAACTTTTTAAAACGACACTTATTAAAAATATGAGGGAGTATTAAATAAAATTAATAAAAAACGAGCATTATATACGAATAATTATGTCGAATTGTGCATTACTATTACAAACTAAAAAATGCTTATAAAGTTGAGTATCATCATTTATCTCACAAGAAAAAGAAAAGAAATGAATATCAATAATACCAAAAAACATGAAAAGGCAAAATTGTTATGAAATAATAAAATAATGTATGTGAATGACTATTTTGCCCTCGATGTATTTGTATTATTACGAGTTGTGCCATCAGAAGTTTCCTATAAATAGGACCTTCAGTTATAATGAAAATCGTACCTAAGAGAATACATTTTCTCTATTCTCTCTCTTTCTCTCTAGTTTTATAACGCGTTATCAGCACGAGTCTCTAACCTTTAGAGCTCGATTTGTAATATGACGAGAGTATGCTCTACAGTTGCATCTTATAGACGATCTTCTGTATCAGAAATCGAATTATTATAATTCGCTATTTTCTTGTGATAAAATAAATAAAAAAAATAAAAATTCTCCTCTATGGACACACAATTAATCACCATGGACATTGACCTCATGATGAACTGCCGAAACACCAGCAGCTTCACCATCTATTTCCTGCCGTGGGAGGAGAAAACCGCCTCTGGCCTCCAGGACGTCCAGGAGCTCCTCCGCCTTTTTCTCTCCTCAGCCGCCCTACTCCCCGACGGAGGAATCATGGCCTCCGACTACGGCGTCGTGGCTAGTGCGGCGATGAGCAAGTTCGAGAGGGACATCTCCCTCCTTGGCCGGAATTGGACCGGCCACGCACAGTTCAGGCGGGCACAGACCGCTTCATCCCGTCATCAGACTACCACCACCAACATCCAGGGTCTAAGGTGATCAGCTTCTCGTACTCATATGGTACCTGCGGTAAGCTCAAAGATGGTTGTCCATGAAAAAGAGATGTGCCCCTTTGTAGTGGTCAGCAACAAGGTAAATTATATTCATTATTAATTATCTAATTAAAATTTGATGCATGGACCATTGAATTTAATATTTGTGATGATGGAAGTTATGTCATGTAAGAGGCATAGAATTGATGTTTTTGAATTGCACATAAAATATTATATTAAGTAGACATAAAATAAAAAAAATATAGATGAAGACAAATTGGGTCCATTAATCGATGAAGGGTAAGCACAACAACCAAATTTATTTTATTAAATGCAGTGTGGTGTATTATTGGTCTTGGTGGCATGATAAAATCAATGAATGTCAAGTATACTTGTTTGCCAAATCTGAAAATGATATTTTACTTTCATACTACTAAATTGGTAGCTTCATTTTGAGACCAATATTGATATATTAATTTATATATATTGGTATTATGAAATGTATGAATTTCTCTATTAAGAAAAATTATTTGGTACATGAACGTGCGAATATTTATGGATTGACCCTTGTGATATGAAAAGAAATATGTGTGGCTAAATGGATCAGCCAGTGCGGCTCTGCCGCCGACAAGTAATATTTAATAGTAACCAACGGGTCAATTATTGATCAAAAATATTATAAAGAAATATGACCGATCGTATGAAATGGCCAAGTGTTGCAGCCACCAGCAACAGATAATATTGAACGGCTAAATGGATCAGTCAGTATATTAATGATAACCGGTGATATAGAATGACCAGGTGGCAACGCCACGTGCAACAAATGAATGGCTATACATATACATGGGTCGGCCAGTGCGGCACTGCCGCCGGCGATGGGCAGTACAAATTAAGTGATAGCCAAATGAGTGAAATTAATGATACTTTGTATCTGACCATGTGAAACTTAATTAAAGTCCTTGTCATGAACAGACATTATATGGACTAACCTGGTCCTGAAGTATCAGTTGATAAATTCTCCAAATTTATGGAGATATGAATATTGATGAGATGATACCAGAAGTTACCACATGATTAATGTGATGTCGGAAGTTATAGCATAATGATTAAATGATATCATGGTATAGTAGTACTGGATGCTACCACTTTATGATTAAACAAGGTGATGAAATGGTACTAGAAGCTACCATTGGATGATTGAACAAAATGAGAAAGTGGTATCAAAAGCTACCAGCTATGGGTGATCACAGAAAAATGATTTCTCAATATATTATATAAGTCTAAGGGGCTATATCAGATGACGAGATCACATTGGGATACGAGATCATACAGATATTACAATAAAGTGCTCCGGAAGAAGCACAAATGATAATGATTGTAGTCATGAACTACTATACACTGAGAAAAATCGAAATTGATATTATTATTACTGAGAAACAAGTACAAAATGTTCAGATGGTGGAAATATGGAAAAGAGGCAGTAAATACTCGATGAATACAAAATACGCAAAGATTACATAATAGAACCCATAAAAGAAGGGTGCGTCTCGAGAGTGTAAAACTCCGTAACTCTGCCACCCATGAATGATATCTGGGTTCATATTTGAATAATATCTGGGTTCATAATGAGAGATCTAAAGGATCAAAAGCTCTTTTTCGCTTGACCCCTTATGTTTCCACAGAATCTTGAAATGTGATGCATTCTTGAAGCTTTTTGATAAGTTCAGCAGACTTGTCAGCAGATTTGAATACTTCTCTCATTGAAGGAGATATAAAGGTTTGATATACTCTTATGTCTAAAAATCCAAGCAAACCATGAAAGAAGTTATTAAAGTTCAATAGACCTATGGGCTTGTTATGAAGTTTCAATTCTGCCCATAAAGCAATGGTGAACATTGTCATTAGCGTTCCATACCCGCCCTGGAAGAATGATAAAAGCATCGCTATTCTTCACCATATCCATCATACAATCATGAATGGAATGAGTTAACATCATGCTTGTGGAATCCTTGACGACCTTTGTTGAAGCTCTACGAAGAGGTATGATACTTTTCACTTCTATCTCAAAACATTGTCCAGCCATTAAGAGACTATCATAGAAAGTATTGCTAGTCCCTCCATACAGCAAATTGATTTTTTGATTCCCCATCTCTTTGACTAACTGACTTACAATATCAATAGTTTGAGAAAAACTTACCAGTTTAGAACCACCAAGAACACATATGGTTTTGATCGGTTGAAGAAAATTATTACCTTGCGAAGACTCTGAAACATCCATCTATTTATTGATAAACTGAATTTTTCAAAACTTTGTGAGGCATATGATTATGATGAACGACTCGCTATTTAAATAGAAAGTTTTACAAAGCAATAAATAATTTTACTGTTTTCTTCTGACAATTGCAACTGACAGATAAGGTGTTGGGTTTTAAATAAATCTTATCTGTCGGCAACTATAAGTTTTTCTAGAAAATTACAGTACAACATACTAAACTGTATTAGTATGATTTTTCGTACTAACAAGACCAGTTTTACAAACTTGATCTTTTGAAATAATATTTTCGAGACTATAACGTTCTTCTTCATTTTTGAACTGAATCCATAAAGACATAAGCTCACGATGCACGTATCCACTAGGATGTGTCTCAAGAATCTGTTGAATCGTTTGATCCAAAGACTCCTTACTCAATCCATCCTTTATAAACGTTATTTTATCTTCTCGATTTTTGGACACGTACCCCACAGATATACATCGTGTGTCACAAGTCCATCGAGCGCATTTGAAGCATCCACCTAACCTTTTTGCTCTTCGTTTCTTTGCATAAGTACTTTTACCCATACCTGGCATATATTTATATGAATTTGGAAACTCTCCAGACAATCGAACTTGTGCTTCGATCAACCATCTAACATCATTTGGAATACCATTATTCATTAGCATCCTCAATCTTTCTAATCGAGATCGATAAATCTTTTTTATGATATTTTTCGGAAGAAAAGAATAATATTTACGGATATTTGAGAGTGCTAAATCCATTTGTAAATTCGGACCTTTGTTAAAGAAAATTGAATGAATTACCTGATAATTTATAGAAAAATATGATGCGTATGAGATACGACTCTGGACTTAAACAGTGTTCAAAAGTATGTGTGTCAGACAGCATGATACGATTCTGGATTTAAACAGTGGTTAAAAGATATTATACCAGAGCCTACACTTAAAGTGCATTTATTGCCGCCGAAAGATGATGTGAAATGTTTGTGATAAACGTGTCACAACGAATTATTGTGATCATTTTAAAATGTTTGCCGATATTATTGATGATGGTTTGCATGATGAACTTATTCTTTGTTATATGAGATGTTTGTTCTCGATTGGTGAAAAATATTACTAGCTAAATATTTGTGAATCGATATTTGATCAATCTGAGTATAAAAGGGGTATGATATATATGAGCCCACTACCCCTCCATGTGTGGTACTAGATATTATGGATCCACTAGATAGCCACATGTGTGTGATTCGTAACCTAAAGTTACGAGATGATTTGATCAAAGAATGTGTATATGACATATAACCTGAAGTTACGAGATGGTTTGTGTTGATGCCAAAAATTGATCAACATGGGGGGTTCAGATGAATTTATTTTGTATTTATTTGTATTGGATTTTTGGTGAATTTTCGTATGAATTTTCCTGTGTTTTTCTGTATATTCTTTCTTCTGTGTTGTTCAAAATATCAAAGAAAGATTAGAAGAAAGAAATTGAGAGCAATCGTGAGGCGGTGCCCCTGTAGCCGTGAAGAGAAAATCATAATAATATCGTCCCCTCAGACTTATCTCTCCAGGTCCATCATTGGGGTATTTATATATACGTTTAATGGGCCCGGTATTATCACAAGTTGTATTATTTAAGGCCCAAAAATATCTTAATGGGCCCGGTATTATCACAAGTTGTATTATTTAAGGCCCAAAAATATCCCGAAAATAAAATAATTAATATAAAACATATCCACGTGTAATATTATAATAGGTTAGGCCAAAATTAGGTATCAACAAGAGGCCCCCGACTTTAGGGCATGTTTTGAATAAAACTGTTCTGAAGTCGCATGTATTATTTATTTTGGCCGTAATCAATGTTGGCCGGGTACTTTGGGACCCGTGGAGCCAATGATGTGGATAGTCAATTTTTCTGGAACGAGGTCCGGATGGCCTAGTCGGGTAATTTGGTACCCGGCTTTCGCGTTTTTTGCGTGGAACGCAAAACGGGTAATGAATTGCTTTTGTGATTGCAATAATGATATGGATTTGTATGGGTACTCGGGCCCCCGGAATTGTTACCGGATTCGCGGTTCTGTCGTATTAAGACGATGCGATTTTTTGTTTGGTTTGTGATTGTTTTTCTGTATGTGGACCTGGTCGGATAATTCGGTATCCGGTCGGGCAGTGTGTTCCCAATCTTTGATGTAATATGTAAGGCGTTAGCCTTGCCAAACCAACTTGAGGGTTTTGGTTAAGAATTTTTCTTATTATTCTTATTTATTTATTTATTTAGATTCGGCTTTTTTTACTGTGTCGACATCGGTTAGCCGGATGTTTTTTCGAGATTCGGCCTTTTTACTGTGCCAATGTCGGATAGCCGAATTATTTTAGTTTAATTTTACCGAGCTGAAGAACTTGGTGTAAAATTTTGTTTGTCCCAGCCGGAAAGGTCTTATTGACTTTGCCTAACCAATGTGGGTTTTATTTTTATTTTTCCCAGCCGGAAAGGTCTTACTGACTTTGCCTAACCAGTGTGGGTTTTAATTTTTATGCTCATGTCAAGATGCATGTATGACGCGCGTATGAATGTATGAATGAATGAATATATGATGATTTCGTGCAATAAATAATTAACACACGAAAAAATAATGTTACCTCGATATTTTGTCGAGTCTGACTTTGTCTGTCGGTAGGTGTTTTGCCGTACCGAAATATTATGTCGGTATCTTTTGTTTCCGACTAAAATA